GGCAATCATTGGTACCTTAAGGGTGCCCTCTTCAACTTACATGGGGTAACAGCAGCTTCCCCATACTGCCACCAAATTAATGCAATTCAGGGCACCAGGCAACTTTGCATCTGGCTCAAGGTAAATTAGGCCAAAAGACTACTTTGTACTGGGACACACACACACAAAAAGGAAAGCAGCAGGTACAACTAATGGCAATGTCACAGCACACCAAGAAACTGGAATCAGGGTTTGGCTGTTCATTTTTATAAATAATGAATGAGGGCTGGGGATGTGGCTCAAGCGGTAGCACGCTCGCCTGGCATGCATGCGGCCCGGATTCGATCCTCAGCACCACATACAAACAAAGATGTTGTGTCCGCTGAAAACTAAAAAATATATATTAAAAAAATTCTCTCTTTTTTAAATAAATAAATAAATAATGCATGAGTTTGGTCCCTGAACCCAGAGAGTTTCCTTTCATTAAAAGCTGTCTGATTATATAAGGCTTCTTATAAGTCCAACAAAACCAACTCAGAAGCAATAATATCAACTCACATAAACAAGAAATTCCCAAAGCAATAAAGAAAGAAGGTGTATGGCGGGGTTCTGTAGCAGTCCACAGAACTGATCCACTTCATTACCTCATGAACTAAAAGCATTTCTTCAGTAACAAATACCTGCTTGACTGAGGTGTTTGCTGTAAAAAGACAGTATCACCTAAGCAGGTCAAAGGAATATTCTGCAATTTCAGAATTAGTTGAGTGGTTCTTGTTGCCACAGTGGGGGGAAAATAGTTTTTCAGTGGCAGAAAAGGCAAGAGATAACCCCCCACCCTTAATTTATTTGCTGGCTCCTTTGATCAGGAGATCCCACAACTATTTACCCAACCCAGTCTCCAAATCTCTAGTCTTCTAGCCACTGAGACATCCTATACTAATAGGTCCTCACACTACTTGATTGTAAGGACATTCTTTGTGCTTTTCTTATCAAGCTTAAAAAGAAAAATATTATGAGATGGCACATAATCTGTCTAGAAGCATCCCTTCTCCCTGCCCAGCTACTTTTAGACTACTCCAACCCCCATCCATTTTAGATACAGAAAACATATATCATGCAAATTGGTGGCAAGTTGTTTTTTTGTTTGTTTTTGTTTTTGTTTTCTGCTGGAGACTGAACCCAGGGTCTTGTGCATGCTAGGCAAGTAGTCTACCACTGAGTCACTACTACTATCCCCAGCTCAGTCACTACTTTTTTATTATGAAGGACAGCCAACTTTAGGATGATGTTGATAATGTAAAGACAAAGTATAGAGATGTAAAGAGTAGGGTCTTTAGAAATCATCTATTTTGCTGCTGAATTAAATCAACACTTTAACTAATAAGTGCTGAAATTTCATTTATATGAGTTTTTTGTTGTTTAAGGCCACTTAACTATTTCCTGTTACTTATATCGAATATACCCAATAACCAGAAAACATATTTTTCAAATAACCCAGAATACATAAAGAGTTAGTCAGAACCTAATTCTACAAATATAACATATGCTACACAAAGCCCTGTTGTTTAGCCCTGTTGAATATAAAAATAAATTCAGAATAGCATACAGTGGGAAGGGTATAGACTTTGAAACCAGACAAACCTGTATCCAATCATACATTTCTTTAAGCCTTAGATTTCTCTTCTATAAAACAGATGACACATAGGACTACAGAATTTTAAATTTTTTTTCGGGGGGGTGGGGGTGGGGCGCAATACCAGCGACTGAATCTCACTAAGTTGCTTTGCGCCTTGGTTTTGCCGAGGCTGACTTTGAACTAATGATCTTCCTGCCTTAGCCTCCCCCAACTGCTGGGATTACAGGCATGTGCCACCACGCCTGGCAAATTTTTTATTTCAATTTAATTTTTTTCCCTGCAGTACTGGGGATTGAACCCAGGGACACTCTACCTACCACTAAGCTACATCCCCTGCCCTTTCTACATTTTATTTTGAGACCTGTTTCAAAATAAAAAGGGCCGGGGATGTAGCTCAGTGGTTAAGCGTTCTGGACTCAATCCTTAACACCCCACCCCCACCCCCAAAAAAAAAATAGAAGAGAAAGAAAGAAAGAAAGTCTTTACCCTCAACTGAACCAGAAAAGAAAAATTAGTAATGATCTATTCATTGGGATATTTAGAGTGCAGGAGATTGCATCAAGAGTTTTAATTCTTCACTCTTTACTGAATCCATGCCCTTTGACACGTAACATTGGAATACACTTCTTTTTTTAAGAAATATTTTTTTAGTTGCTAGTGGATCTTTTTTATTTTATTTATTTATATGTAGTGCTGAGGATCGAACCTAGGGCCTCACACATGCCAGGCAAGCACTCTAACACTGAGTTTCAACTTCAGCCCACTGGAATACACTTCTAATTTGGGCAAGGCATAATTCCCACTCCTGGGCTCAGGCATGTGACTTGCTTTGTCTAATAGGATGTTAATCAAGCACACTTGAACATGTACAGAGTTGTGGAACACATTTACATAAATAGACTGGATACTCTTGCTGATACAGGATCACCCCTAAAAGAGTATATTCAAGTTAGACTACTAGTCCCAGAAGGAAGAAGAGAAATAGCTAGAGCAAAGCTACTCCAGTAAATCCCAGGATAGAGCAGATCATCAGCTGACCTGCAGATGCATGAGTAAGCATGTGACCAGTAGAAGTGTCTAATCTAGCCAAATGGATGCAGTTGTGCACACTTAATCCCAGCATCTCAGGAGACTGAAACAATAGGATCACATGTTCAAAGATAGCCAACTTAGTGAGACCCTAAGCAATTTAGTGAGATCCTGTCTTAAAATAAAAAAGGGCTGGGATGTGGCTCAGTGTTTAAGTACCCCTGGGTTCAATCATTGGTACAAAAAAATTATAAACTCACTTCTGAGAAAAGATATACACAGAAAATCTTGATATAGAATGCTGATTAAAGTGTGCTCCTTTGGAAAAATTAGTGAGCTATATTTTTCTTATGTGTGTGTTTTCTGTTCATAACTCAGTAAAAAGCTTTTTAAAACTTCAATGACATTAACAGAATAGAAAAATATTGACAATTTAGAATTCAGAGGAGGGACTAGTCACTGTTGATAATTAAAGTTGAAAACAGTTAACATGTATTAAGCAATTACTATATGTGCCGAGCACTGTGCTAAATAAGCATTTTATAATTCATACTCACAGCGTCCTTTCGGGGTCCTCATTTTATCAGCAGCATTTGTCACAATTAATTATTCCCTCCTCTTGAAACACCTTTCTTTCCACCCCAAGAACATGCTCTTCTGGTTTTCTTCCTACCTCAATAACCACTCCTCAGTATTAACCTCCCTGCACTTTAAAAGTGAATACTCTAGGGTTCAACTCTGGTACTCTTCTCTACATTTCAAAAAGCATGTACTAATATTCTTCTTTGCATTCGACAGATTAAAACATTGAGGTACAAGCACAGAGATTCAAACCTAGGGGGATCAATCTAGACTTCAGAGATCATGCTCTTAACTTCCTCACCATTCCATCATTTTTTGGCCTTCCAGATAAGAGGCAGGATATAGTTATACCCATTTTGCATTCCAGTGCCTTTGGTAACAGAAAAGAGACACAGAGTGAAGCATATAGGACTTTCCTTCAAAATATACTAAGGATTACCAGGCAACAAGTCAGCAGGAAATTAAACTCTTACAAATTCTGTTAAACAAATTCCCTAATTCTTCACTCTGTACTTTAGTAGTAACTTCTCAAAGAGGAATATGAAAACATTCTGGAACATATTCTCAAATCTATATTCTTATTAAAATGATCTCAGGAGGTGTGGGGATACAGCTCAGTGATAGAACATTTGCCTAGTGGGTGTCAGGTGCTGGGTTCAAATCACAACACGAGAAAAATCAATCAATCAATCAATCTGGGGAGCTTTTAAATAAACAAATGGGGATGAGTACAGTGGTGTAGGCCTTTAGTCCAGGCTACTTAGAAGGCTGAGGCAGGAGGATCAAAATTTCAAGGTCAGCTGAATGGTAAAGCACTTCTGGGTTCAATCCCCAGTACCAAAAAAAAAAAAAAAAAAAAAGGAATAGTGGGGTATAGCTCAGCACTAGAGCACTTACATAGGATGTATGAAATCCCAGGTTCAATCCTCAGTGATGCAAATAATTTTAAAATTATGCCTGGAACCTATGTACCTATTAAACCTAGAAGATTCCAGGAATCTGTGTATCCAAGAAACTCAAGCATATTCTGAAGCTCATAACTTGGTACCTGACTTTGGGACACCTTTGCTCTAGAGAGAATTTTGTGGCCCTCAGAAGACAAGTAATGACTATCACATATTTCTCTAACAAAGGCTGGAAATGAAATGAGAATGGAAATGTAATCTGATATCAATAAGTAATAAAACCAATTAGTAAATCAGAGCAGTGACTGTGGAATTCTAGAGTAGGACCCCAAACATTTCCCAGATGATCTGAAATTTGGTGCCAGGAGAGTTCATAGTTGAGTGATGCCTCCATCCTTCAGCTTAGAAGGGAGTCCTCCAGGGAGCAGGGACAAATTTAACACTTCAATAGTCATATTCTCATAGTACTCACCACTACTATGAAGGAACATAAAGGTATAAAGAGATATGACCATTGTCCCAAGGGAATAGAAGAAAGCATTGTCAACATTGTCTTTTTTTTTTTTTTTTTGGCACTGGGGATTGAACCAAAAGGTGCTTGACCACTGAGTCACATTACCAACACTTTTTTTATTTTGAGACAGGGTCTTAGTTGCTGAAGCTAACCTCAAACTTGCAATCCTCTTGCCTTAGCCTCCTAAATTGCTGAGATTACAGGAGTATGCCACCATGCCTAGCAAATACTGCCATTTTTGCATAAACATAAACATACATATTCTGCTTGCATACACACATAACACTTACTATACAACCATAAATGCTGAAATTAAGACAAAGAAGTCACTTCAACCCATGTATTAAAGTCTTACCTCTGTAAGTGCATGCAACTGTCCTTCATGTACACATACACCCAAATACCTGAAAAATAAAATAATTTTAAAACTAAAATGAAAAGAACATGAACATAAATTCCATATAGATAAACTATAGAGTTACCCAAGCATCAGAAACAACCCAATACCTGTGAAACACTGTGGGTTCCTATTCAATCCCATAGCCTCTTAATCTTTTTTTTTTCTTTAATGAAAGCTTTTTTTTTCTAAAGGGAAAAGAGAGAGAGAGAGAGAGAGAGAGAGAGAGAGAGAGAGAGAGTTTTTTTTAATATTTTATTTTTTAGTTTTCGGTGGACACAACATCTTTGTATGTAGTTCTGAGGATCGAACCAGGGCTGCATGCATGCCCGAAAGCTTTTTTTTTTTTAATCTTTATTTTATTTAATTTATTTTTAGGTGGTGCTGAGGATAGAACCCAGGGCCTCGCACTTGCTAGGAGAGCGCTCTACTGCTGAGCCACAACCCCAGCCCCTCTTAATCCTAATTAAAGTGCCAGACTGATAAAACTCAAAGTTTACCATGAAACATCAACATTAAAACATCTGGTTTTAGCAATATGTAGTTAAAAAAAAAACTCACAAAACAATGATGGACATATGACCAAATTATCCCATTCCTTGGTATTTTCCCCTAAGGTGTACAATTGGCATACTATAGCAATACAGCCACTTCAATGTTTATAGCAGCACAATTCACAATAGCTAAATTATGGAATCAACCCAGATCCCTGTAAATATATATAATGGATTAAGAACCTGTGGTATAGGGCTATAGTTGTAGCTCAGTGATAGAGCACTTGCCTAGTATGTGTGAGGCACTAGATTCAATCCCCAGCACCAAATAAAAATCTTTTAAAAATGAAACTGTGATACACATACACACACACACACAATGGAGTTCTACCCAGTTATAAAAAAAGAATGAAATTATGGCATTTGCCAGTAAATGGAAATAGAGAATATGATGCTAAGGGAAATAAGCCAAAATCAGAAACTCAAAGGCCAAATGTTTTCTCTCATATGCTAGAGTAAAGGAAAAGAAAGGGGAGGAAAGTATAGGATATAATAAAGATAAAAGGAAGATCAATAATGTAGAAGATCGAATGTGTGAGGCCCTGGGTTCAATCCCCAGCACCAAAAAAAGGAATAGGAGATTGAGAGGCAGAGTGGAGGTAGGGCAATGCAGAATGAATTCTTTTATCATGTTATGTGCATATATAAATACATCACAGGGAACTTCACCTTTATGCGTAAGTAAAAAGAACCAATCAAATATAAACAAATAGATGAGCATAAGGAAAGTCTAGCCGAGTAGAGGAAGGAGAATGGGGGAAGGGAGGGGAGGAGGAATGGAAAAAGGGGGATCATGAATTGAAATTGAATTCCATGCATTTGTTTGTCTGGATAAACCCAACTACTATGATACTTCAACTTTATAACTATAAAGCTCTAATAAAAAATATTTTTTAAACTTAAAAAACAACAATAATAGAGGAGGCAAGGGGGGATAGGAAGGGCAGCAGAATACAACAGACACTAGTACTGTTGTATGTATAAATGTGGCTGTATAACCAATGTGATCCTGCATTCTATACACGTGGAAAAATGAGAATTCATACCCCATTCGAATCAAATGTATGATATGTCAAGATCATTGTATTGTCTTGAGCAACTAATAAAAAAAACAATAATGGTGGATCAGATGTGGTAACACATACCTATAATCTCAGCTACTTGGGAGGCTGAAGCAGGAGGATCATAAATTCAAGCCCAGCCTGGGCAACTGAGAGGTAGAGCATCCCTAGGTTCAATTCCCACCATTGCGCGCACACACACACACACACACACACACACCACAAAACTGGGGAAAAGAGAGGACAGTAAGTAAGCCTTATAGATATCATGGTATAATGGACAAATCATCAAACTGGAAGTAAGGAAGCTTGATGTAGTTTCAGCTCTGCTACTAGCTGATACATACACGCATACTCACACACTCAAAAAAGTTAGAAAAGAAAAAAGTCAATAAATCTATTAGGGATTCAGTTTCCCCAAATAAAGAAATAGATAAATTGGATTACCCAGTTTGAAGTCTATAATTTATAAACAACAAACTGGGAGAGAAAAACATTTGGTGGATGATAAAGAACTAACTTCTTTAACTTACAAAAAATTCTTCCAAATGTATAATAAAAAAATAGAAAAATAAGCAAAAGATATATACATAATTTCCAGGAAAATTACTGTTAATATCAAAATGTGATCAAATTCACTCAAAACTAAAAATGAACACTAAAGAATGAACACATAAAGAAATTAACACTAAAAAATGAGACACCACGTTTAAAAATTTATCAAAGGTTATGACTGATAATTCTTAGTATTGACCAGAAGGTGAGGAAACAGGAACTTACACTGTTGTGTTCTTGGTACAACTTTTTTTTTTTAATATTTTTTTTTAGTTCTAGTTGGACACAATGCCTTTATTTGTTTTTATGTGGTGCTGAGGATCGAACCTAGCGCCTTGCACATGGTAGACGAGAGCTCTATAACCGCTGAGCCACAACCCCAGCCCCGGTACAACTTTTTCAAAGGGTAATTGATATTATCTAACAAAATGTTTAATTAATCCAATAGTTCCACTTCTAGAAATTTATCTTGCAAATATATGCAACTTGGGTGAGCAAAAATACTTGTAAAGTTATGGTTTCAATGTTTGTATATCCCTAAATTCATATATTTAGACTTAGGCCCCAGTATGATCATAGTAAGAAATAGGGTCTTTGGCAGGTGATTGGGTCAAAAAGATTCTGCCCTCCTGAATGGTGTTAGTGCCTCTATAGAAGAAGCCCAAAGGACATTGCCCTTTGCACAATGTCAGGACATAGCAATGAGGCACTTTGAAGCAGAAAACCCTCATCAGATAGCGAAATTGTTGGCACCTTGACCTTGGGCTTTCCAGCCTTCAGAACTATGAGCAATAAATTTCTATTGTTTATAAATTATCCAGCCTTAAGTATTGTATTAAAGCAACCCAAATGGGCTAAAAGCAAGGACACCTACTTAAAATAGTATATATGAATCTAAATATTCGTGAAGCCTGCTTAAGTATTATTGGATTATTCATAAAATGGAATGTTATATAGCCATTACAGTAATGAAGTAATATTTTTACACTGACATGGTAAGATACTGAAAATATATTGTTAAATGAAAACACTGAGATGAAAGCATTGGTGCATGCCTGTAATCCCAGCAACTTGGGAGGCTGAGGCAGGAGGATCACAAGTTTGAGACCAGCCTCAGCAAATTAGTAAGGTCTTAAGCGACTTAGGGAGATTCTGTCTCAAAACAAAATAAATAAATAAGAAAAAATTTTTTTAAAAAAGGGCTGTGAATGTAATTCAGTGGTAAGCACCCCTGGGTTCAATCACCAGTACCCAAAAACATAAATAAAACACTAAATTATAAAACAGCATAATTCAAAAAGCATGTTTATATATTAGTAGAAAATATCTAGAAGCATTAATAATAAATGGTACTGGGCAAAGGAAGAAAAGATTGATTTCCATTTTTTAAAAATAATTTTTAGTTGTAGTTGGACACAATTCCTTTACTTTATTTATATTTATGTGGTGCTGAGGATCAATCCTAGCATCTCACACATGCTAAGAGAACGCTCTACCACTGAGCCACAACCCCAGTCCCTTGATTTCCATTTTTTTTTTTTAAAGAGAGAGGAAGAGAGAGAGAATTTTTAATATTATTTTATTATTTTTTTAGTTCTCGGCGGACACAACATCTTTGTTGGTATGTGGTGCTGAGGTTCGAACCCGGGCCGCACACATGCCAGGCGAGCGAGCTACCGCTTGAGCCACATCCCCAGCCCTTGATTTCCATTTTTAACTGTACACACTTCTATTGTATTTTTTTTTTAATGGATACAGGGCAATGGGGTTGTGGCTCAGTGGTAGAGCACTTGCCTAGCATGTGTGAGGCACTGAGTTTGATTCTCAGCACCATATACAAATAAATAAAATAAAGGTCCATCAACAACTAAAAACTTTTTTAAAAATAAATGGATTAAGTATCTTTTTGTGTCTTTATTTTTATGTGGTGCTGAGGATCGAACTCAGTGCCTCAAAAATGTGAGGCAAGTGCTCTACCACTGAGCCCAGCTCCAGCCCTTGTAGTTTTTTCAATAAATAAATTTTAAATAAAAACAATGAATCAATGATTTCAATGATTATTATAAAGAAGATAAACATCATAAAGCCAGTAACAGTAGGAGTTTGGGTTGTCAAGAAGGAAGTTTCATCAACACCACCAAAGTCTCAAGTCAGTTCAAGTTTAGAATGGCAAAGAAAAGGGAAGAGACTGACAACAAGTGAGAGTGCAAGGCTGAACAATGATTGTGCTGGTAAAGACAATAAAATTCCATGAAGGTAGAGTCTATCATATTCTTTCATGTCACAGCCCTTAACAGCACCTAGCAAACAGTATGCAAACTTAGTAAATGATTACTAAGTGAAAAGAAATAGTGAGGAGAATATCTGGTCAAGCTGCAATACTACAGCAGAGTTTTAAAGACATGCTGCTACCACATTTCAATTAATGTGGAAATACCAGAATTTCCTCAAGGAGTGTTTTTGTTTTGGTTTGTTTTTTGTTTTTGTCCTAGGGATTGAACCCAGGGGCCCTTAACCACTGAGCCACATCCCCAATCCTTTTTTATATTTTATTTAGAGACAAGGTCTTGCTAAGGTGCTTAGGGCCTTGCTAAATAGCTGAGGCTGCCTTAAACTCATGATCCTCTTGCCTCAGCCTCCCAAGTCCTGGGATTATAGGCATTCACCACTGCACCTGGCTAATGGGTGGTTTCTGGACTGCTGGTTTTCTTTAAGTTCATCCAGAGCCTTGGGAACTTGAGGAAGGAAAGAATCTCAGGAAGATCTAGGTAATAAGGAAAATAGGGTGCAAGTTCCAACGACTCATTTCTAGAAACCTACTCTGCCTTAGGAAAACA